ACCATATACATAGGAGATCCACACAAGGTCGCAGCCATCATTTCACCATGCAGAAACCGTGCAAAACCAAAGTCAGCTGCAAAGTTCAATGTGAAATTGTTCTAACGAGCTACAAAGAGACCTCTCTTCTGCGCAGAGGCGATTGGAATAGGCTTACATGAATCTTACATGAGGTTTCGATTGGGGGAGGAACGCGCCTTCCCGCCGCTCCCCGCGCGCATCCCTCCCCCGATGAAACTTCATGTAAGCGCGCATCTCGCCAATCGAAACTTCATGTAAGCCTATTCCGATCGACTCTGCGGAGGAGAGAGCAAAGAGACAATTGATGTAGCTCAACAACTGTCTCTCTGTAGCTCAGTTGGTTAGAGCTAGGATTTACTACACGTGTAAAAATTGAGAAAATCCACAACTTGTTGCAAGTTGATATCGACAGGCGCGAACAAGGTTGTGCGGTCCACTATGAACAGTACTGTCACTATGTTGTTACAGCATTGTTCAACTGCAACAACTTGGAACAACATGGTTGCCAACTTGTTCATAGTTGGCCGCACAACATTGTTCACGCCTGTCGATAACAACTTGCAACAACCTGTGCGTTTTTAGCCGTGTAGGATAACCAGAGAAATTTCAACCGAAGTGTTTTAGATCTAGTATGTTATAACCATTCGTTAATATTGCACTTACCAATTTTAATTTTGATATCTGCTGGTTTGGGATGTGAAACCCCTGAGTGACTGAGTAGAATATTTTGAGGTTTAAGATCTCTATGAACAATGCCTTTTGATTGCAGAATTTTCATTGCCGAAGCTACAGGACAAGGAATTACAGTTAAAAATGCGACGTAAGAACTGCAGTATTTTTCACTGAACTGAACTAACTCTTAATAATACTTAACGCATTGTTTCATCCAAAAATGAATTCTGAACATGTTTTTTAATCCTTCAAATTACATGGTAACATAAGAGGGCATTTGAAATAGGAAGGAATATATATATATTTATTATATAAACATAAGTGTTGTTATGGCCACTGAGAAAAATCGTATTTAAACACACGTAAAAAATACGATATTTTTACGTGTGAAAATATCATTTTTGCAAGCCAAGCAAAAAGCGCGTAGGAAATATGTTTGACCGATCCGAGAACATGTTGTAAAATGCATTGCCACGGATGTTTTATTGTTTTATTGTTCAACACTCGAAATAAATATGGTATTTCCACGCACCATGTGTTATTCTCTATATAAGCGATGAACCGAAGCCGAAGTTTGTGTTATCAACCGAAGGCATTTGTGTTGTGACACAATTCCTCACTACATTGGCAATCATCATTGGCATGACGTCATACCGTTTAATACTATTTTTTCATATCAACGTTATGACGTCACTCCGGTGAATATTATGTCAAAATTCCACATTTGGTCAGCTATTGAGTTGGTATGACGATTTCACAGTTGGTTGTTAGCCAATCAGAAATCATGAATTCTGTTAATTAAATAAATAATATTTGTTATGCTCAACATGCAGTGACGTCAGCGTATATCCAATGTAAATAATCTGCGCAAGACATGCATTTGCTTACGTACACGCCTACGATTGTGGGCCGAAATTGCTTTGCCGTACGCCAAATATCTGAGGAAACGTACGATATAAACATGTACTACAGCTGCTTTGTATTGGCCTGAAAATCCTTCAGACAACAAGCATTCTCCGACCCGAGACATTTTCAATTCTGGGACCATTTTTACCAATGCGCTGATGGAAAATGGACCATTTGCATTATAGACCAAATTTTGATCTAGACAAAAATTTCATCACAGCTTGAAAGAGCATCACAAAATTAGTAATATTCCAAAGTTTCGTTGCGAAATGTTGTAAAATGCGGATAATATAGCCTTGCGAAATTTGCAATTTTCAGTCATTTTGTAATACAAACGGGAAATTGATACCCCAACACCCGATTGGGCTGTCAATTTCCCGTGCGTAATACAAAATGACTGAAAAACGGCAAACTGCGCAAGGCTATATTATCCGCATTTTACAACATTTCGCAACGAAACTTTGGAATATTACTAATTTTGTGATGCTCTTTCAAGCTGTGATGAAATTTTTGTCTAGATCAAAATTTAGTCTATAATGTAAATGGTCCATTTTCCATCAGCGCATTGGTAAAAATGGTCCCAGAATTGAAAATTTCATGCTCAATTTAGTCTAACATATATACCGAAAATTTCACGTTGTTTTGAGACGCTGTTAGTTCCAGTGACTTGACTGGAAATTGGCTCATCTAATTCAGTTTAATCCTTTTAAAACTCAGTAATAATCAGAAGTTTACAATACTGAATTTAGGTTATTTTTCGTCTTACCAATTTGCTTTAAGAAAAGGCAGATGGTATCTTCACTCAATGTCCCTTTTGCTGAAAACAAAATTTTGTTTAATTGTTTCCAATCACTGTTCATGCTTAGTTCAATAGCAACAATACTATGGTATGCAAAGTTGCAAACGAATGTGCTTAAAGTGCCTATGTCATGATTTGTATAATTTATTATTTGTAATCATTGGTATATTTTATGAAGAAATGCAATATATCTTTAAAAGAAAATATTCCATCTTCACAGGATTATCGGGCCTCAAAGTTACCGGATATGACATCAAACCGGGAATGGCAAATTAGATTTCTTTTGTTTCTAGCGTATAAAATTCCCGATTTGATGTCATATCCAGTAACTTTGAGGGCTGATAATCCTATGAAGATGGTATATTTTCTTATCAAGATATATTGCATTTCTTCATAAAATGCACCAAAGATAAAAAAAAAATTTAAAATCCCAAATCATGACATAGGCACTTTTAGGAATATATGGTCAGAGGTAACTGTCCAGGGGGGTGGGGGAGTCTGAACCCCCTCTATTTTTCTTCAGGATCAATTTTGTAATTCCATCAAAACTGAGGAAAAACTGGGGGGGGGGGGTGTAACCTCTTAATGTTTTCATCTATGAGAAAATATAGCAAATCTGTTTCTTTAAGATCATCAGAAAACATGTCTAAAATGCATAAAATAGTGTTTCGCAGGCCATAACCCCGTACATGGTTGTATGCCAATTGACCTTAAAAACAAAACTCACCATGCAAATAGTCAGCCAAATCACCTCCATTGCAGTACTATATATAATAAAACAAAGTGCATATTTTAAAATTAGTGAAATTTTATTTCACACTGTGTGCATACCAAACACATCATCTGACGTGTGTGTGAAGATTGAGGCCTGTTTCATACGTCATACTTCACATGTGCCGAATATCAGAGACGGATTTTCATATTTTCGTTTGGGGGGAGGGGTGGATAAATATCTGGGGGGGGGTGCTGCTGCTTGCTTTGGCTGGGGCGTGGTGGCAATGCCCGGAAAGGCCAAGGGAAAAGTTTAACAAAATTTGTTTTCTAGGCCTGCATGGCGAGATCTGAGACCATAATATTGGTAATTTTACAAATTTAGTAGTAAGAATAATCAAATATGAAACTATCAAATCAAAATACATGTAATTTGCGGGGGTGCCAAATGCCTAATAGATAATATGAGGCAATTCAGTGCCAAATAGATACGTGCCAAATAGATAATGTGGCAAATAGAGCCATAATATGTGCCAAATAGATAATGAGGCATTTCAGCTCATTACCTATTGTCTTTAATGTGTTCGGCACATGTGAAGTACGGCATATGAAACGGGCCTTGCATAATAGCACTTAAAGTTTTCAAGAAACTTTTGAAAAATTTGCAAGGATTACTGAACAAAGATTATTTTTCACTTCATTTAAATTTACGCATTGAACAAGAAGTAAGGTAATCTATCCATACAATACATAGACAAATGCATTTAGTAATTTACCTCCATAACCAGATTGACGTGAGTGGAAGTCTCCTGAAAAATGAAGAAAAAAACAATTCATCGCTGTTCAGCAAATTATTTTATATAAAACAGCCAGGGATGCTGGAAAGACATGAGCAGTGGTGGAAATCTTGGTGGGGCAGGAGGGGGGGGGGGAAATTTTGGAAATCTTGACCTAAAAGCTAAAAATAGTCTTTTCAATGCAGTGGGGGGGGGGGTTGTTGGAAATTTGAAAGTTTTGTTGGAAGTTTAGGAGGCTTTGCCCCCCCCCACTGGAAAAAGTGAATTTATACCACTGGACATGAGGGCAAGGGGAGGGGGCAGATATTTGTAGTGGGGCAATTTTCAGCAGGTCAAATCAACTGCAAATATTTCCCTGAAATAAAAAAGGGCACCTTTGCCTCCCTCATGAAAGGGCCCTGCAGCTGTGTTATGAGTAAACTACAGACGTCTTTACCTTACAATCATACAAGCAGACAACACTTTCATGTTTAAGTTCCTAAAAACGCAGCAAAAAGAGTTGACGCCCACTGTACTGGATCTATTAAGTAGCCAGTCCTCAAACAACAATACTGTACAATGTTCTATACACATTACACACAATTAAAAATTTTCTTCACTTATTATGTACACGTACACTTCTCATAAAATATTCCTGCTAATAGAAATAGAGCTCTCATAGAGTTAGAAAGAGTCTAACATATTAGGGCTGCTTGTGGTATTTTACAGGGCACAGAGTAAAATTTTAGCTCTGAGTCCAATATTATTATAATATGTATATGGTAATTTAACTCATTGAGCGCCTGAGTGTTCTCCCCTTGACAAGTAAAATTGTCTGGCATTTCAATATTTCATAGAGTAAAATAATAAACTAGGGCTCATTAGGGTGCAATATGCAACTTAGCATTGGCGTGTACATGTTTATGCATAAATTAGAACATTTACAAATCGAGTCTCAATGTCAAGGTCATCGAACTTCATTGCATGAATACATAATTAATTTAGATAGGTTTTGTTTTTTTGGGACACCCTGTATAATCAGGGGCATCAGTTGAACAATCAACATAAATATGCAAATGAAAATCAGGGAACCTGATTGGATTAGCCAACTTGGCGTAGCACAAAGGAGTTTTTGGCGTAATAAAATTAAAAGATGGCAGATTGGCAGGCTGGCGGACTGTGTGTGTTAAAGAAATTTTGTGCTTTTGGTGGGTTTTCTAAAGTTGTAATTTTCCTGGCATAAATCTTTGGCGGCCAAAAATGGAGAAATCCAATCAGGTCAGGGAACATTTAACTCAATATACATGGACATGTACTTTCTTTGAGTAAAAAAATCCCGACTGCACTTCTGGCCAATGACCAGTGATGATATTGAGGCTTGACTTTCAATAATAGAGCACGCCAAACCATGCTGTGTTGCATGCAAATATGCCAATGAAATTTAATTTAGAGATGATTAAAAATTCAATGCATGTTGATACAATCAATGCATGATATTACTCTATTATCCATAGTATCAGCTGTTATTATTGAACATTGACTGGAAAAACATCATCTGACCTTCAATATATGAATTTCTTTTGTCAACAGATTTTGTGCTTTCGAGAGGTTCTTCTTTGTGATAACCTTAATAGCAACAGACTGATCACGTCTCTGCAAAAATGAACAAAATTTTGAGCATTTTAACATGCAGTGCACAATATATTTTTTTGGGGGGAAGGGGGGTGGATTTAAGCCAATTTTGAATGATATACCATAGCATAACAGATTAACGTTAGAATATAAAAATAATTTAGAATGGTCCAGATTTGATTAAGTGCCAATGAAAGACATATATATAGTATTTTACGTGATTACGTAAATTGGTTTGTTCTTGTCCAAAGAAACCTTTTTGTATATTTTTTTCCTACGCGATTATTTATAGCAAAATTTATCATTATGGCTGGTTTCGGTTGTTTTAAAACATTCTGTACGGGATTTAGCGCTAAAAACTTGCCAATGACAAGGCGAAAATACATTGAAAGAGAGCAAACGAAAATATACATATATTACGATATGATCTAATGTTTTTAGCAGGAAGACCGAAGACGTTTTAAAAATATGCGTTCTAACTTACTTGGCGGTTTCTTCCTTTAAATACGACAGCAAAAGCTCCATGACCTATTAAATCTTTTCGCCTGTATTCAAAATCTCCGACGTTAATAATATCTGCCATTGGCGAACTTGACCTCCAAGGGTTTTTGGCGCTTGGAATCGAAACGCGTTGAATTGACGCCTAAATAAAGCCTTGTTTCCATAGATTATTCTCTCCCCGAAGGACTATGGCTACTTCGTCATAACATTGTACAGCTATTTCGGCTAACGTTGTCCATTTTAACACAACAGCAGTCGTTCTAAAGAAAAACTTGATTTCTCTCCATTGTTGACAAGGTTTTGTTTACTTCGCAATGTTTATCACACAAGAAATGAGCCCGCCATTTCATATAATTGCGGATATTACGTCGGTTTACCAACGTCACTTGTCGTATCAATTTCGTGGTCAGCTCGTCTTCCGAATCTTGAGCACTGAGCTATATATAAACTGGAGAGAGTGTTCCTTCCGGTTATATTACAAGTTATATTACTCTCTTTGCCATATTTAGCTACTTCATTTTCTCCGTTCCCATCAGAGGTTTCCCATCAGAAGGTTTTCACTTGAAAAGTTTTCAAGGAGAGACAAAGGAGAAGGGGGGGGGATATGCGTTCCCGTTTTCACTTGAAAAGTTTTCTATTATTATAAAAAGGATTTCACCATCTGGCTAATTTTCTGTGTTTATTATGCCTTATCACCCCCTTGTTCCCTAAAAAACACTGGGAGGGTACGAGGTCGCCTGCGAGACCCTCTATGGCCACGAGAGGTATAGGTAGGTAGGTAGGTAGGTAAAATTGCATTTATGAATGTTGGTAATGTATCTGAAAATTCTGAATCACGCATCTCTGCAGGTGATGAGTTCCACAATTTAGCTTCATCACAACAGAAGCTTTTCTTAAGGTTTTCAGTTTTTGGCAAAGGTAGTTGCAGCGAGGTAGAGGAGCCCCTAAGATCATATTCTGTTATGTTTCTTTTGTGTACAAAGAGAGTAGCGAGTGAACTTGTGGCCAAATCATTTAGAACTTTGTACATTTGTTTAACTTTAGATTTGGCTTGTCGAGTTTCAAGAGGCTCCCACCCTAGAGCGTTTATTGCTTCTATACCAGGTGTATTGTACCTCAAATTCATTATTATTCTTGCAGCTCTATTCTACCAAGTGTATCCCTCAGGTATTCCTCGACGAACTTCAGCAATGCTAAGTTATTATTGGCTATTGCAGTGAAATGCTAAATTCTTATTGGTTAATTTACCAGCTTTGCGATTGAAAAAAAAGACATCCTAGCCCGCGCACAGGCATTGCTCTGGGTACGAGATTGCGCCCGCAATATTACGGCAATCATCCGGGAATTTATTAAGGCGTCATCATAAATTGTGACGTCAAAATTGGCTTCCGCAAGTTCGATCTTTTCTCAAGATCTTCCACCTGAGACGAGTTCAGCACACGTGCAATGTAAGTTTTATGCCATTTCTTTTACTTTTTATTCGAGTTTTAACGATATAATGTACGAATATACCTTACGTGATACTGTTCTTTCGTTTTGTGCCGAAATTGTTGCGAAAACGCGTCGAAAAGTGCGAGCAAAACGCTTGCAAAAATCGCCGGTTTTGGCCATGTAGGGCAAGTATAATATGCATTGTGAAATCTTTTTTCTGTTGCTTGCTTGTTGCAAATCTGATGGATTTTTTAAGGCAATGAACACATTGTCTTGGGACTTATTTTATCATTTAAATAACTTCCAAACTTTTATGATAGCAAACCGAGATACTTGTAGTGCAATGAGAATTCTTGTTTTTATAGCGTCGCGTCCTATAAAGTTATAAACTAATATAAATTTTCGTTTGCCATTTGGCTTATAGATTTAGAAAAAAAGTTGAAAAAGTTTTGGATAAGGGACGAATTATTAAAATATAGAAGAATTTTTCAATTGAAATCCGTTGAGATTTCGTGTGCTTGCGTTTGCATACATGATCGACTTTGATCGTATATTTGATTCGAATTTCAATTTGGCTGAAATAATTTTCAGCATTGTACTTTGTACTGCCGTGCCAAAATTGGGCTGTACTCCTTAAGTATATTAGACAGATTGTTGTACACTGTACTGTATTGAATACCCGGTTTTCTGTGTGATTTTTAATGCAGGTTTTCAGTTTATAAAAAAATATTTCAAATTCTAGGAAATGAGTTCATTTCAACATTTTTAGGAAATTGTGCATTTTATTGTACCCAAGTAATCACTGAATCATTGGAATTCCCCACACTTGAGTAGTGGTAGGCAGGATGGTTAGCTCAGAATATCCCCAGGGGTGGAGCCCCACTGCACTGTACTTTATCACAATGCCGCAGATACAAATCTCTATTTACACCTAAAATTTCATTTTGTTTGTAACAAGCATTTGAGGGTTTCAATTAGCTCAGCCAATCAGGGCGAGGCTAGAGGATTTACATGATTGGATTTAAACCTGTCAAAATGCTCTTTTCACAAGAATTTAAAGTTACGTGAACATAGGTGATTTTGTTGTAACTGTCCGGTACTTACATGCAAACAACTGTATAATAGATTGTCAACCCTTGATTATCAGGTAAATTTTCAAGTAAAAGGAACTGTTGTCTAATGTATATACACATTTTTCTTTCAGAGAAATCTAAACAAATATGGCAGAGAAAACCAAGAAACTTGGTTTTGCTGAAAACTTTGCCCTCAGCGGTGTCGCAGCTGTAATCTCAAAAACTGCCGCTGCTCCTATTGAACGTATCAAGCTTCTGGTTCAAAACCAAGATGAAATGCTCAAGACTGGTCGTCTGGCCGAGCCATACAAGGGTGTCATCGATTGCACAATGAAGACCTACCGTTCAGAAGGTTTCTTGCCTTTCTGGAGGGGTAACTTGGCTAACTGCATCCGTTACTTCCCCACGCAAGCTCTTAACTTTGCTTTTAAAGACAAAGTGAAAGCTGTTTTCAAGATCAGTAAGACAGACGGGTCTGCCATGAAATTCACGAAGAATATTGTTGCTGGTGGTTGTGCTGGTGCAATGTCCCTTGTTTTTGTGTACTCCTTGGATTACGCTCGAACCAGGTTGGCCAATGACACTAAGGCTGCTGGGAAGGGTGCTGAACGTCAATTCAATGGTCTTGTTGACGTCTACAGAAAGACCTTGAAAAGTGATGGTATTCAAGGGCTCTATCGAGGCTTTGCCATTTCCTGTGTGGGTATCATTGTCTACCGAGGTTTCTACTTTGGTCTCTATGACACACTCAAGCCAATTATGTTGGGCGAAGATGCAGGTTTGTATTTTGCATTTCAATTAAGTTGTTCAGATGATTTTACTTGAAACAAGCCCATTTTCATGTGTAATTGAGATGGTTTGATAAACATTCTTGTATGTGCATAATAACAAGTCTTCTTGCCCTCCTTCTCAGGTTGAAAAATTCCATTCCATTTTCAGTCAGATGGCAAGAAGGCATATAAAGATACACAGACATAAAAGAATATTTACATCCGTCTCTATTAATATAAAATTGGTTTACGAGACCCACTTCACATGAACTATGCGACCTACTTGGTCTATGGGCCCCTTTTGTCTCTTGTTAACCCGCCATTCTACAATTTCCCACATATTCAAACTACTTTGTTTTACCTTGTCTTATGCCAGATGATTTTGTTTTGCTTTAGGTCTTGTTCTGTCATTTTGCCTTGGCTATGCCGTGACTGTCAGCGCCGGTCTGGCATCTTACCCAATTGATACTATCCGAAGACGTATGATGATGACATCGGGAGAGGCTGTCAAATATAAGGGCTCGATAGATTGCTTTTTGCAAGTTGTGCGTAACGAGGGTGCTCTGTCACTGATGAAGGGTGCTGGTGCTAATATCTTGAGAGGTGTTGCAGGCGCTGGTGTGCTCGCAGGTTTCGATAAATTCAAGGCTCTCTACATCGCATGGCGTCTCACTTGAACAAATGAACAGTAACTTATCTGCCAAATATGGAGTGCAGGTCAACTCTTTCAAAACTTGGACAACTTTAACCAGGCACTTTCGAGTGATTTTGCAGAAATATGACTTTTTCAGTAAAAAATTAATTTCACATTAATAGACTCTTTATGTTTGTTTTATTTTCTCTTCTCAATAAAAGACAATTTAAATAATGACTCTATGTTCTGTTGGTTTCTAATCTACACACGTAAAAATCTCACAACTTGTCAACAAGATGTGTTTGCAACAGGCTTGCAGCAAGCTTGTCAACAAGTTGTAACAATGCTGTTATTTTATCAAGTTGCTACAAGGTTGTCACTCACAACTTGTTGACAAATTGTCGAATTGCAGGACGATAACAAGTCGTTGGAACAACTTGGAACAAGTCTGTTGAACTCAACAACCTTGTAGCAAGTTGTCAACAAGCCGTTGACAACTTGTCAACAAGCTGGGAACAAGCAGTGCGAACACATCCTGTTGACAAGTTGTTGGAACAGCATTGCTACAAGTCTGCTGCAGGTTTGTTACAACTTGCGTGTTTTTACGTGTGTAGTATGCAGACAAGACAAAAATACACTTAATTATGTTTTTAAATTTGTTTTTCACCTGTATCCGTCTTTGCCAACACTGTGAACTTAGCGTGTTTTCTTTGTCATGTTCGCATACTAGATCCGAAAGTTCTCCAGTAACTAGTACTGTGAAAAAATGAACCCAATAGACACTTTTGAAATTTGCTTCAGTGCACATGAATAATTTTTAGTTGAGGCTGACAATGTTATAATCTAATATGCATGTTGTAGTCCATTGTTAGCTTCGAAGCATGCACTCAAGGTCTATGTTCAACTAGCCACAAATATGATTTTTTGTTTGTGTATTAATATTTGGGTCATTCTAAGAAGAAGTGTTATGTATCTTTGTAGTAAAAAACCTTGTCTTGTCAACTTTTTCGCTGTCATTAGGTGAATTCTTGGTACAAAAAAAGAAACTAATTTGCAATTTACCTAACCATATCATATCTGGAAACTTTAACAGTGAAAAAGTTGATCAAGATGGGATTTTTTACTATAAAGATATATTACATTTCGTCTTTGAATGACACAAATATTACACATACAATAAATCCTATTTAGGGTTAGTCACACTTTAAAACAAAGAGACATCTGCGGTATGAAGGGTATACAACTACTATAAAGTCAAAGTTGAAAGTTGAAAGTTCAGCTTATAGTTTTCAGGTAGTTGTATTATCCTTCCCACCACAGCTGTTGGTTTAGTCTCGACCTACAACGGCACCGACTGTTGTATTTTGAAATGTCCAATTAGGCATTACCCCCCTTGAACAATGTTTGCTTGTGTATAACATTGGTGATTAAAAGGAATTAGCATGGTTTATAGTTGATTGTCTTCTGCTTGGGGACCATTATTTAATTTTTGTGTATTGCATCACATTTCATAAAAACTATCTCTACCACTTGTATTTATTTTTCCTCTTTTTCTTCAGCCGCTTGACATTCTTTCCCGACCCTGATTTGGATGTCTTCTTTGGTTTCTTTTTCTTCGCTTTTATCACAGATTGATTTTCAGACACTGCATCCATAGTCTCGTCTACATCTCCTGGTAAATATACGTCATAGCAGAGAGCTTACACAATTATGTCAATATGTGTTTGTCAAAAGTAGCATCTAACGCAAATTCACCCATTATGGTATCAGCTATCTTGTCATAGAGTATAGGCTATAGCCCTAACAGGCTTTTATATTCACTAGTAGTATAAAAGCTCATGTAATGCCCCTGCTACTAACAACCCCTCGAAAATCCTGACAAAGGGCCTTCACTCAAAACGTTGAAGTTTGCATCCCTATCAATCTGAAGCTTTCTTAACAGAGGTTCAACTTGTTATCAGTGCTTTTGATGTCCCTGGTGGCCATGTCCCCACTCCCTAACCAGTGCATTTAGCTAAGAGAGGCCATCACCCCCTTGCAAATATTCAAAATGGAAGGCTTTTTGACTTCAAAATTGGGATAAATGCCTCTCGTTCAGAGATGGATTTTCATATTTTCGTTCGGGGGGTGGGTGGTGGTGGATAAATATCTGGGGGGGTGTTGCCGTTGTTTTGGCTATCGGGCGCGCGGCAACGCCTCCTGCCGCCAAGGAAAAAGTTTAACGAAATTTGTTTTCTAGGCCTGCATGGTGAGATCTGAGACCATGATATTGGTAATTTTACAAATTCAGTAGTAAGAATAATCAAATATGAAACTATCAAATCAAAATATATATAATTTGCGGGGGTGCAAAAACTTTTGGGGGCGGTGCCAAATGCCTCTGGGGGGGGTGGTGGTGCAAATCATTTCTGGGGGGTGCGCACCCCCAGAAAATCCGTGCCTGCTCTCGTTAGTGCCCTGGCTAGGAACATGGTGACTGCATCACAGCTACATGGCAACTGGTTACAGACTTTTGGTTGAATCAGATCTCTGTATGGTTCATACTGAACAGCCATGGATTGAGGGAGACCTACCCGGAAAATAGACAGATTTAGAACGAGGACACAGATGTCAAAGACGACATGAAAATGGCGTCAAAATGGCATGGCATATCCATACATGGGCACAACACGCCATTTTCATGTCATCTTTGACGTCTGCGATCTAAATCTGTCTATTATATAAAGCAGAACTCTATTTTTTGAGTGAGCTTGAAATGTCAAAGTTCTGCTTATATGTTCAGGTAGTTGTATCTCTTCCAATCAGCAGCTGTTTTGTTACCAGGACTGCCGAGAGGTTGTGTGGGACCCTGGGCAACATATTCTCAAGGGCCCCCGGACGTAGTGCCCCCCTCGGTGGCGCTTCTTGTTATTGTTGCTATATTTTGGCACCAACCGTTTTGAGTCCGTGTAGATGATTTCAAAAGCACAAATTTTAAGATTATGCCAGATAAAAGCTACTATGAACACGAAATTATTGAATATTGACTATTAAAAAGTAACAATTTTAATTAACCTATTAACTATATTAATAAATTATTCTAGAAAAATATGTACCTGATGAAGCCGGAATTTTCTCGCCCTTATCGCCGCTTTCCACCACGTCTTGAATCATTTTTATTCCCTCTTCTTCTTCTTGTATTGCTAACAACTTTAATCTTTCTTTTGCCGCAATCTTTTCTCGTTTTACTGCCCGTAATTTCCTTTTGGCTTTTGAACGAATGCTTTTCGCCATTTTTGTCTTCCCTCCACGTGTGTTAGTGAGCCCGCAAGCTTGCCTCGAGCACAAAATAACATCGAGCGAAGTACGAAAACTTTTTCTCTTTTTCTGTCGTTTTAAATTTAAAATTTTAAACTATATTTTATTCTTAAAATTATAAAGATACTTAATAATAAAATCAAAGGGCGTAATAAATCTAAAGTAACACAGAAAATTGCATGCTTAAAGGCAAAAGAATCCTGAAATCTGCCCGTATTCGCCACTGAAAAATTTCTACTGACAAGAGTACATTCTTTTATAGTACCCTTAATATTAAACTGCAAGCATGAAGCAGCAATTTTCAACAAATTCGGAACTGACACCCAGCTGATAATCGTCTTAGACAAATGTCAAAAGGCTCTTTCAGGTCATACAGGCCTAGACCACATGATAAACAACATAGTTAGAACACCCATTATTAACATTATACATGGTTTAGCTCCATGTTATGCACGGACCATTTAACCACAGAATAGTATAACTTCCTATTCTGTGATTTAGCTGTCTGGGTATTTGACAACAATTAATTTGACACTGTTTCAGCCTGTTTGATTTCAAGATTTCATCGCAGTTAGTAAACGAGCTTTCGTGCAGTACTCTTCATGAAGACGAGTGTGGCAATAAGACGTAATAAAATACTTCAAGATTTACTAAGAAGTGTAATTTACAATAAACGTGAGTGTGTTATTAATTTTGTTTGCTTCGTGGCGTCATGATGGCCTGATGCCAGCTTGTTGCGTATATTGAATTGCGTTAGGTCTCTCCAGTGATGGCATTTCCGTTGAAGTGTAGCCCTGAAATGCTCAAAACCTGTTAACAAATCGAATACTGTTTCTATAAACCAATACCATTATGTCATTATGATTTTAATGCAGTCACCATGCATTTAAAAACATTTTATTCCCACATTTCCCTGCTGGCTGAGGTCTCTATAATTCCCACATCTGCTCCAAGGGTAGCAAATGTTCTGCTGATGTGGACAATTGGGGCCCTTCCGCCTGCCGCCACCTCTTCAGTTTAAGGGGAGGGTGAATAGGTTTTCGGATCGTTGGATTTCGCCGAAAAAATTGTTCGGATTTCGGATTTCGTGAATATTTTACACAGATTTGTGGATCTTATTAATACAGTGGATTGCAGATTTATCTAATATTTTGGCTCGGATTGTGGATTTTGCTTGCAATTTAGTTCGGATCCTGGATTGTGACTTCATAGTAGAGCTTTTAGCGGATCCAAATTTAGACAAGACCATTGTCAGATGGCGGATTTTGCTTCAAATTTGGGCGGATTTGTATACCCCTATCCCCCCCCCCCCCCCCCCCCCCGTTTAAGCTGGGGGCCCTTTAGCACAAAGTTATGCCATTGATTTCTGAAATGTCATCCCGACATTGAAACAAAATGGGGTGATGTGGGTATTAGCTGCAGAGAGTGTAGAAAATGAAGTCCAACATAATATTTTAGAATTCTATCCATATATCTATTCTCTCTAGATGATATCATAGCTGTTAATAAACCATACGGATTAACAGTGCAAGGTGTGTCCTGGTTGATTGATTAATTATTAATTGTAAAGTAATCAATTACTTAATAGAATAGTTTGCATCAAATTTCAAATGGTATTCTTCAGAAATGTCTCAATTTTTTCAGGGAACTCAAATACTCCAATCAGTCTAACTGAACTGCTAGAAGATTTTGCAAATGCCAAAGGACTGAAACACAAGCCGAGACTTGTTCACAGACTAGATCGGTAATACTCTTTAATGTATGGATGCAAAGTAAATGTAGCTTAAAATGTTATTAAGAACGAATGTATTATTGAATGAAAATGTACATGTATTTCTACTTGCTGTGTTATGTTTTCTAGGGACTGTACTGGTGTGCTACTGCTGGCAAAGTGAGTGATATTAAATTTGCAGCAAGTATGGCCTTAATTGCAACAATTGGCAAGGCCGTTGGAATCGCGGGGGGGGGGGCAATAAGTTCCATTTGTATAAGCAAAACACACAAAAGAACTAGAAAAGTGCAAAAGCAATTCAGATTTATTCTTGAG